TCAGTCAGGAAGTCTGTGATGCACCTACAGGTGGAGTCAGGTACACTGAGCTGGAGTAGTTTACCCTGTAGGATAGCTGGGATGATGGTGTTGAAGGCTGAGCTAAAATCCACAAACAAGATCCTGGTGTAGGTTCTTGTGTGGTCCAGATGCTGCATGTTGAAGTGGAGGGCTAAGTTGACCACATCGTCTACAAACCTGTTGGCTATAGGCGAACTGCAGGGGTCCAGGAGTGTGTCAGTGATGGCTTTGAGATGTGTCAGGACAAGGCATTCAAATGACTTCGTGACCACAGAGGTTAGGGCAACGGGTCTGTAGTCATTTAGTCCAGAGGGTTTTTTGCTTTTTGGAGGGAGGGATGATGGTGGAGGGTTTGAAGCAGGGTGGCACTTGGCATATCTCCAGTGAGGTGTTGAAAACGTCTGTGAACACTGGGGACAGTTGGTCAGCACAGTGCTTCAGAGTAGCAGGGTAGCTTTGCGGTGAGGGGGGAAGCTGAGGGAGCTGGATAAGGTGTTGGAGTTCCTGCAGTGGGTTGGTTGGGTGTGGCTGTGCAGGGGAAAGTGTCAGGACAGACCCTTTGTCTTTCAAAGCGACAGTAGTGGTCGTTCAGCTCATTTGCAAGGCACATGTTTATGGAGTAGGGGGGCTTTAGGTGTGTAGTTGGTGATTTGTCTGAGCCCTCTCGAAACAGAGGCAGAGTTGTTAACTCAGAACTCGTTGTTGTTTCTCAGAATACTGTCGTTTAGCTTTCCTCGCCTGCTTGCTAAACCTGTATTTTGACTCTTTGTAACTCTTTTACTCCACTCCTGAACGCCTCTTCCTTTACCCTCCTTTGCCATCTGAGTTTTGCTGTGAACCAGGGTTTGTCGTTGTTGTAGTTCACCCTAGTTCGTGATGGTATACAGCTGTCCTCACAGAAGCCGTCCCAGAACACATCCCAGTCAGTACAATCAAAGCACGCCTGGAGTTCCTCAATGGCTCCACTGGACCAGTGCTTGGATGTCCTCACTACGGGTTTGCACCATTTCAGTTTCTGCCTGTAGGAAGGAATCAGATGGCCCATGGTGTGGTCGGAGTGACCCAGTGCAGCTCGAGAAACAGCATGATAAGCATTTTGAATTGTGGTCTAACAGTGTGTTACCCTCCCTAGTCAGGCACTTAATAAACTGTTCATACCTTGGTAGCTCGTGGCTGAGATTTCCTCCTGCACGCTGGTCTGTGGCGGCACGTAAACACTGACCAGAATGAATGAAGAGAACTCACGGGGAGAATAGAAGGGTTTACACTTAATAAAAGTTTCCAATTCTCGCGAGCAGAACTGTAGGAACACTGTTGCAACGCTACACCAGCCTGTGTCGACTGTCCATGGCGCCATCGAATTGGATCACCACCAAATGTTATTCCTTTAATCGCAGCACTAAAGCGTCTTCTAAGCAAAGAGGTTGAGACGAACCACAGAGTGAAAACAGTGAAAAGTACACCCATAGAGTCTGTCAGCAGACATTTTACTGAGCTCTAATCGGATACTCTGCACTTCTTTCAGTAGGTTAGTAGGCCTGTACATTATTATTTGTATGTACATATTATATGTATTATATGTACACATAACTGGGGTCATTTTTATTTTATATTGTGCATTGTTGGAATGTGCTAAATAAATATTTAAATCATTTTGTAATTGTTTTTATTCTTTGAAACATTAATATTAATATATGCAATTGCAGTGCCTTGATTTAATTCATGTTTAGTACACAGTCATAGCCATAAATGCATGGTACTAATAATTAGCATAATCATTATTTTTGGTTATCAGCCTTGGTTTCCTCATTTTCGTTTTTCAGTTTCAGCCAAGGATTCCGGTGCATTCCTACCATAGGCCAATTTATAGAAACAGATCAGTTTAGCCAACCAATAGGATTGGGTCAATCCCAATGTCCCCATCTGGGTGTGGTCTTTCAAAAAATCCTGAATTCAGAAAGAGTGATAAGCCTAGGGCCTACATTTATCACTCTTACTGAATTCAACTGAATTGCTAGTGTTATTTGGAAATTACATTTAAAATAGTTCTTATTTGTAATTGAATGTCACTTATATATTAAAATATTGGTTGATTTGGTATGTAATAGCTTTAAAAAAAAAAAACCCTGAAGAACCTCATTTGCCTTTAAGGCCATGAGAAACCCTGGGTCAGGACATTGCTTGTTGTTTATTGTCGTTAAAATATTTGTTAAAACTTCATGTCATAAAATTTCAAGATATAAACATAACATTTTTTTTTCTTCCTTCTCATATCTTGTCTTTTTTTTTTAGATCGACTTAATATTGCCACAGAGGTGATTGCAGAAAACCTTTCAAAGAATTGGCGTAAACTAGGCCGCAAACTTGGTCTGAGTGAAGTCAAGCTGGAGTCCATCTCAAAGAGGCACCCGACAGATATAGAAGAGACCGTGGTGGAGATGTTAAAGGAGTGGAGGATACATCGAGGGGCTGAGGCCCGAACAATAGATCTTCTGGAAGCTCTAAGAGCCTGTCAGTACAATCTGACAGCTGACAAAGTAGAGGAAAAACTGGCGCAGGCTGATGTTGATGGACAGTGACAGATCAAATTGGGGCTTACATTTGCTGTCAAAATTATATTAAAGTTATGAAGGCAAACATTAACGTTCTTTGTGTACACATTATGAACCAGAGAAAAGATAATTCTTAATGACCACCAATTTAACCATGTAGTAGCAGTATCTCTTGTTAAACCAGGTAGTCTCTTTGAATTAATTTGAAATCAATTTTAATAACAATATATTTTGTTTTTAAGTGTAAAAAGTGGTTCAGTTTAGAGGAGGAGGGTATCAAGACTAGAGCAAGACTAACTTTTTTTTAATTTTGTTTCTAAGTTGTGTATGTGTTTTATTATATGGCAACCATCAAATAAGCGATCCGTGAATAGTAATTAAACAGTACTTACTTAGTGTCCTTTAAACCCATACTTCTAAAGTAGGCATCGGCAACTTATCCAGCCCGTCTAGCATCAGTCCCAAAGTTGTCCATCTTATGGTTATGAACTAATTTCAATTTACATTTGCTGGATGATGGCCGAACTCTCTATCTTAGAGATCTCCAGTGCTGGGATCTTTCCGAAAACTGGGAAAAAGGGCTTTTTTTTTTTCTTCAATTTTTTTATTTAAACACACCAGATTCTCAGTTACACCTTATCAGTGTATGAACATGTCTCATTTGTGTGGTACAGCTCCAGGAGTACTTCGCCAGTGTTCTAAAAAATAAAAGGCATTTGAACCTTTAATTGCATTTTAAATACGAGTTAGGAGTGCCATAAGGCGCACCGTATTATAAGGCGCACTATCAATGAACGGGAATATTTTCATACATAAGGCCATCGAATTATATGGCGCATTAAGCGAAACAAAACAGTCAGCGGAACAATTAAGCGGAACAGTCAAGCATGTCCAGATCCCTCTCGTCATTGTCCGTGAGACTGACGATGCTGTTAATTAGTTGCTCACTGATGATTCCGGCCTTTGTGAAACATTTGAGACTGAGGCATCATCTTAGCCCAGGCATCCACGATCCATTAGCAGAAAGTGGCCTCCCTATCGTAGTGAATGTGTGTTCGCCTTCTGTCATCCAATGCTCCCACGCAACTTTAATTTAACTTTGAACGCTCTGTTAACAGCAATATTTAGCGGTTGGAATTCTTTGGTTAATCCACCCGGAATGATGGCAAGTTACGAATGAGTTTGCTTCACTTGGGGTTTTGACAATATCGGTGAGATAGGCGTAGTGGCCTAAGTTGGACACTGGAGGAGGCCGTTGTTGTTCGCCCCTCCAGATTGAGGCGGTTGTCACTATTTTTGTTATGAATGGTCACCGTATTGTTGTTGATCTTCAGGATTCTGTGTTTTAGACTGATAGTACATCCGTCCTTAACTACATCAAGAATGAAAAACTCCAGGTTCAAAGTGTTTGTGGCCAATGAGTCTCAGAAGTTCTTAAGGTCTCACAGTTTTCTCAATAGAGATATATATAGACTCTGCCCAGAGGCTCTAGAGGTTTGAAAGCAAATTAGCGGATGCATTTCTTAAGAATGCAATGTGGTTTGATAGGTTGGAGTGGGATTACCTCTGGGCTACTCTGGACAACTTTGGATCAAGTTCAGAATTCTATGTTTCTGGTGTTTCTGAGAAATGCAGAAGGATTTTTTTTAACAAACACCAAATCCCTCTTCACTTTAAACCCAGCAACACCCAACCTGTTCATCTAAAGAACAAATGATCACATCAGAAACACAGCAATGTGCAACATTCATGCAACAACACAGACGAGCCAGCTCGTCATGCCAGGACTCAGCGGTTCATCTGTATCTAAAGGACAGAGGACACATTTTTGAAGATAGTAATGTCCATATCCTTGCCATCACTCAAGGTAGATTGAGACAGAACCTGTTTCACACTGTTTCAAAAAAAAGTCAGAATAGGAGCTTTTAATATGCACAGCATGGTAAACAGTAAAATATGGTAACAAATATGACAATAAAAAGTGATGTAATAACCATATCATTTTTTATCATCAAACCTTTGTCATTTTTTTTTACATATTTATTTATATAAGTAAAGGTAATTAAGTCAAATGTGTGATAATTTTTTTAAATGAAAACAATCTCACACTATAAGACAAAAAACATTGGCCACTACAGAGAAGGTCCGATACTGAATGCTTTTATAATAGATCAAAATAGCAGAACTCACCTCATGACATTGATAAAAAAAAATTTTAAAAAAATCAAGAGGTGTTACAGTAACTTCTGGATTGAGTGTGGGCCTCCTCAGCATTAAGATGTCTAAACGATAGCCTGTTTAAAATGCACACTATAATGTCACAATATAGTGTGACAAAAGGTTATTAAGGTCACTAATATAGCGGACAGCCACACCGTAGGACATTTTTTAACGTTTTGATCAATATTTTAAGAAGAAATCTTAATACACCAACAGAAACTTTGATATTACTGTAATATACTGGATCTTCTCAGAGAAACACCATTTACACAAATATTAAAAAATATATTTTTATTATGTGACACATGGACAGGATCGACATTACAGGGTGTGTCATGGAGGGTAACATCAGGTGGTTGGTGAAATGTAGCACAGGTAAAACAAATCGGTTATGCTTAGCTTTCTCCTTTGTTTTCCAACTGTATGTACCGGTTCACACAGCATGGACCTAATTGTGTGAAAGATGACTTTTAGTTTAGTGTGGTCTATAGATAAATAAAGGGAATAACCACAGTAAAGTTCAAAAAAAAAAAAAAAAACTTTAAGAGTATTTGTAAGAATGTGGTTTTGTCTTAGAAATGAATAATGTTGCTTACTCATTTTACGATTGGTCTCTTTATTACATGACATGCTATGTGGCTTTTTTTTTTTCTTTTTGCATTTATAAGATTTTAGTACAGCAACTGAATGTGCTTAGTAAGCAACGATTAGGTCACGTCACAATTGGGTTGCACTTGGTGGTCTAGGGATGGCTCGATATAAGTTTTTTCATGTCTGATACCGATACTGCAACTTGGAGCATCAGGCAATGTGGATATCAATCGGATACCTCCGGATTGATGGTTCAGCCATCTAAAATAAGTCCCCCCCTTTGCCTTCTTGGATTCTCAGCATAGCTGAGCAGGGACGACTGTCGGATAAAGATTCAGCTCTCCGCGAGGGGAATGCTCAGGTATCAAATTGAAATTAGAGTATCAGAGCCATTGAGCCATCCCTAGTATGATCATACAGATGTACCGAAAGTCTTTGGTTACTGCCCTCATTTTGGCTACATATTTTTTTCTACTGTAGAAGCATCGACAGAAGACAATTAATGAACGGAATCCTGTCAGTTTTTCCAGTTAATATTGATGTGCCATTTCAGCTAGCAAATCTGTCCATGTAAAAACACAAGAAAACTTTTTTTTTTTCAAATCCAATTTTTGGGTTTATCTGCTTTCATCTGTCCCTAACCTACCCAAGTCTCTCCCGCTACACGGTTTGCAGTGTAGATTGATGATGTAGGGGGTCAGAAATCAGTGTGCCTCAGGCATCCGAGACGTCTTCGTTTGGTGCTGAATTACTTTCGTTGTCTCCTTCAGGAAATTTCTGAAGGCATTTCCTTCTTTGCTCTCTTCAGTAGCTAAAAAAAAAACCCCAGAAATATTAACATAAATGAAACAGATAATTAAGGTTGATTTATTCCTGTGCTATCTTGAATGACATTCACAGTCCAATGAGACAAAGTACACAATATCTACAAAATGTACATTGAGAAGAAACATTCAAACGACTTGGGTAGATAAACTGTAGAGTAAATATGAAACAAAGTTTTCAAAAATTAGCAACAGAATGAAATGCGAGCCAGAGAGCGCACGTTGGCAGTCGTGACTTATTTTGAGAGATTTTTTTATTTATTTATTTTTTTTATGAAACATGTTTAGTTTAACTCTTTAAAGCGTCTGTATGAAAGAACATCACCTTCAACTTAACATATCTAAGACTGAACTCTTAGTTATCCCAGCTCATCGCTCAATCGATCATAATATCGAAGTAAAAATCAACTACCAGTTGCCACATAAGCAGGGTCATGCCTCTCTCTCTCTATTTTTTTCAAGAAGCACTTAAAAACGTTTCTCTTTAAAAAAAAAACATCTCCTACCCTAAAAAAACCCACTAACATCTAACATGCACCTCTTCTTACTCTATGACCTACTATAACTATACCTTTTCTATTTATTATTT